TTTTAGGCATAGTACAGTAAAAGGCATTTAATGGTTTATAATGACTCTGTGTCAAAGGGCCTGTTGACTGAGACACACTGTATGTAAATCTGTAGGCCATCACTGCCTTGATCAGCACAGCACAGACAACAAAGTGAATTAAGCCTCATCTAAATGTAAATTAGGTTTTATACCTTTGGCAAACAGCTTACATAACCAGTGTCTGTTTTAATAAACCAATTAGATTTTATTCTATGCTATATGAAGACGAGAAAATAAAAGCTGTGCTTTATGGAAATGTACACGGGATGCAGATAGCATCAGGAGTCGGGCAAAGATCCTTCCTATAGGTATGCATCATTTTCACATGAAAACATGTGCTTGAAATACTGACTATTCAATCTAGTCTGAGAGAAGTAAAACAGACACAGACTGTCATAAAAGGCCCATTCAATTGCCTTGAGAAATGAACATGTGTGGCAGGAGCTTACATATTTGTCTCCAATTTCCTCTCCCTCACTCGTATCACAAATATCAGACTGAATATATGAAACCAGAAGCTCATTTTACATTCTTGACTTATGCAACCTGTCTTATAAAGTTTGAGCAGAGGTACAACATTTACTGTAAACACAATATGGCAGGTATTCTCAGGTTAGATGAACCTACACTTGTGCTGCTGTTCAACATCTTTAATACAATTAAAGAATGAGGGAACAAATTTTGCTCTTTCACAATTTAACTGCATGTACTTTCTTTACCACAACATTTACATTTTTATCCAAGGATTGTTTTTTTAAAGTTAATCTGTGCAGTCTTATGTTCAGAAATATTATAAATAAGAACTTCTCCTAATGCAAGTTTCCACTTAATAAAAATACATTAAAAAACAAAGTAACTTAGGGTAATTCTGGGTAATTAGTGTTAGTATTATTTATCTGATTAAGAGAGGGGCAAAGAGAACTCTTCCTCTGATAAATTTATAGAAATTTCCATTTGTATTTCTTACCTCATGTTTAATTTTGTCCTCAGGAAACTCAGAACAAGTTAAACAAACAAAAATAAATTAAGAAAATGCCAAAATTTCTGCTTTTTATTTTGTTAAATTTTAATTAAAAATTTAGAATTAAGAAGTAATATTATCTTTAGTAAAGAGAGTGGTACTTTGTTTGCAGCACATTTATTTTTACTATGGTAAATGATGACAACAAACATATGAACAGCAAGAAGTGCTATTGTAGACAAATACATAGATTTCAGATGGAGTATAACTTGTAGAAAAATAAGCACATGTAAAGAATTCTGTAAAAAGCAAAATTACAAACTGTGAAGTGGAACTTTAAAGCAATGCTGTTAAAACCAGTAGTGTTTAAATGAAACAGCAACAGGGCATTAATTTGAGAATATCTGGCAAATATCAATTTATTCCATATTCTAACTTTAGTTAAGCATTTACTGGAAAGAGATTAATATCAATTCCATAAACCATTCAGGAGATAAATCCGGAGCCACAGACATGTATATGTTAGCTGATCCCTGTGAGGGAGCTCAGCACCCATTAATCAATGTCTGAGCTCCTCTGGCCATGTCATCTGGGGGAAAAAAAGGCAAATTTATAAAAAGGGCAATTACCACACTGATATTGCAGAAAAATCCTCCTAATATAACCCTCTACTACTACACATTTGTACTTTCCTTCACATATGAGTCTGATAAGGTTTATCTATCCCACTATATGTCTATAAAAGATTGTCTTTCCTCTTGTGAATAAGCCTAACCCAACTTAATTGTTAGTAGTAATCCACTGACTTCCAGGTTGTTGAAAAAGTGCATCAGAGAATCAGCACTGGAGAACAACACTGACACTGACACCAAAGTCAGACAACAGAAAGTAAACAGGGAGAAGTTAAAGCTCATCTGAGTCTGCAGAAACCAAAATGGGCTTATCTGTGGAAATATGAAATCTGAGCACCATCTGAACCTAATCTCCACACAGCGATTCAGTCCCAAAGAGAGCCTGCTGGTTCCCTGATTTATTCTGCCTACTTGGTGCTTGAGTGTTAGCCTGCTTGTGGGTCTAACCAGCCGACCTTGTCGGTGCTGAAAACATGCAGTTCTTCATTTTCGTTTTAATGCCACTCCACTAGCAGAAAGCAAGGCCATTAACAAAGGAATCTGGAGCATATTTAACTTCATCTTACTTTATGCGTACAGCAGCCTCAATTCAATTATATAATTGATTTTTTTTTTCAATCAAACAATGAAAATTAATTGTGGAAAATAATCAACACTACAAGTGGCTATCTTTCTTCTGACCTACACAAAATACCTAGCTGGATTTCCTCCACAACAAATGCGACACTGCTGAGGGGAAGCAAACAGACTGCTATCACAGTACCACCACAATACCACATAGCTGTACCATGTGTGAGTCAATGTCAGAAAAAACTACATGGCGTGCTCCTAAGTCCAGCTTCAGACTTCAGATACATCGCTGTTGACACAAGAAGAAAATGAAAATGATTTGAACCAATGAACCAATATCAGTTAAGCAACTAAAGGTAAACAGAGTTAAATTTAACATTTGTCTATTATGTTTTTATGATTTGTTGGGTTTTTGTTATACCAACTTTTTTACCTTCTTTTTATATTTGCAATTCACAGTAAATGATAACAGCAGGTACATTAGCATACGTTAGCTAACTAAGCAGTTGTATCTTGTGTCTAAAAAACAAGAATCTTAAAAAACGCTAAATTTAATGGCGTTTTGGCCCAACATGAGTCAATTAAGACCCAAAATAATAAACAATATTCCTGCGGTAATCATAGCAGAGAGTTCGTTAACTACCTCAGATTCAGAGAAAATAATATACTGATAAAAGCTTCCTGCAGCTCCCTGGTGGTTTGTTACTTTCCATTTCATGCTAGGGAAAAGATCATTATTGTTCCACGCTTTTCACAGCAGAGCTCGAATAGGTTGTCAAATCCCTATTAAATACAACCTAATTAATTTGTTTAGTTTAGTTTTGTGATGTGTTGGAATGTAAATCTTTTAAGAGAGATCTTTAAGTTGATATGCCTTTATAAGTATGTCTGTCCAGGTATCGGTTTGCCCTCTTGTGGATGTAACGCAATATATAAATGGTTCGGTCCTGTGTGGGCAGAGGTTTGAACGAATAATCAAATTTGAACAAGAGCCAATGAAGTATTCCGCAAAATGTGCATTGTAAAACATTTGTATTTTATCGTGTATATAGAGAATGAGTAAATGTTTGAACAACAGCACTATATTTTTTACAAGCCTACATACTACGTGCATATATATCCACATTTAAGCATGAGCTATACACGTTATCTAGAATGTAACAGCACAACGGCCTCTATTTTAAAATTCCTGGGCTAACTACTATTTTTGCCTAGTAAATATTTTAAAATCCCAGAAACTTTTATATAAAAGTGTAAGAATGAGGACTTGTCCCTATTAATGGTGCGGATGGTGTCCAGAGATCTGTTTTTACATTCTGTGCTCTCTGGTCATGCCTCTGTCAGCAATGACCAGATTGTTCAAATATGTGGGTTCAATTTAGAAAATGAAATAAAAATGCAGCTAAATGCAATATAATGTGCATACATAGTAGTTGTGTATAAAAAGGGAAACGCCAGCAACTTCTGAAAAAAAAAATTAAAAGTGGAGCATCTTTTGTGTCTAAAGCTCTGTGGTGTGTTTGACTGCTTAAACAAAGAGACTGCTGTGCTGAATATGCTGCTTTAATGCAGCCTCGGTAAAAACTAAAAATGTGACTGTCTCCCATAAAATTAAGGTAACACTTACTACTGTTAACAACACGAGTCTGTAGTTATTATTGCATCTTGGAACTTCTTTAAGTCTTCCAAATTAGTGCTAGGGCAAGCAGAAATCACAGCTTCATCAGGAGATTGCAGTCAAACACGCAAATCAAATTGATTCTCAACTGCTAGATAAGGAAAAACAAGGCAGGGGGAAAAAAACAGAGTGCAACAGGGTTGTTGCCCAGTTTACTGTGAAAAGATTTCAGGGATCAATAGTACCAGCATCTCATCCACTTTCACAACAACAACAAAAAAAATTTCTGAACTGTGAGGACCCTGTGTATGGATAAAAAGTTTTAGAAAACAATTTCAGACAAACGAAATGGAAGATAACAGACAGGATGATGTAGAGATCGCAGGTTTAGTTTATGCTCTCGCTGACACACACATGGAGACACTAAGGGAGCAAAGCCACATTGCAGACAATCTAGGTGATGTAACAAACACAAACTTTTTTGTTAAAACTTGCAAGCTCAATTAAAAAGGTAGCAAATACTGTATTCTGACCACAACCACGCTTCAGCCCAGGAACATAAATAACAGATGTCATAGGTTGCCACTTTGTCTATCGAGTTTTTTTAAATTATTGTTTAAAAAATTTAGATTCAGCCATGGAAATACAAAGCGAGGGCAAATATACAAGATGCTAGCTAACAATGGACAGAGGCATGTCAGATTTAAAATTGTTTTAAACTACAAATATTAAGATCACATAACAAAAGAATTGTACAAATGTTCAAATAGCATCTAGCTAAAGCTGACCCACTGATTGCTTTTGGGTAACTACAGTCAGTGTGCTAGGGCAGCAGTGACAACCAATAATATTCGGCTTCAACACAGGTCTTATGACAGTACATAAGACCTGTGTTAGATAGCCTGTGTTATCTAACAATAGATTTTTTTCAAATGTCAGCATATATACCCACCCTTCACTGGGAACCTGGGTTGCATGGAGAAGAAGGGATTGTTGTGATTTGGTCACTGTGCTTGCAGGATGTGGGTAGCTGTCAGTACAGCATCTGATCTAACAATTATCAATTATCTGACTTTTCTGCTAAACAAATCTGCTTAAAAAAAGTGTCAGCCAGCATGAGAAAGTCTTGCTTTTCCATCCAAGTGTGCACCCTGTAATTATGTCTAAAGGTTAAATATTGTGTTTTGCAGTTACTCACCACTTTCAAAGCATGCATCAAAAACCAGATGTCCTTTTCGTGGAGTTCCTGAGTATCCTGGTGGGCTCACCATCAGCTTGTTTACGTTGCCCACCAAGGCATCCTCTCCCCCAGCTTCACGGCCTAAAGAACAAGTGCAAAATGTAGAGTTTAACTTTACTCAAAGGAGTCTCCGACCACTGTGTGTAAACCCTTAGTTCCCAGGTGTATATGAAAATTTCATATAATATAATACAGTTGTTGTTATTAAAGTAAGGACAGGTATTTACTCCAATAGAAAAAAGAAATGGTTCCTTTTCTTATGTTGTTGTCATGTTGACTTTTATTAGAATGAAAAAGGAGACACACACACCAAGTCTATAAAAAATACAAGATATAAGGATAGGGATAACTAATTCACATAATGTTGTTGTTAAATGTGAAGCGCCACAACATCAACAGTATAAGAAGTGTTGATTTTATATATTTTATTGGTATTAGTAATTAGCACTAAGTGGTAATTAGGCTGTTCATTTCAACAGACAATTTCAACACATGGTTACTTTTCCTTGAACAAGTGAAGTACAACTGGACTTTTAATAAGTTAATACCGTAACTCATTTCCATTTCTTACGCCGTTGCTCGTTAATAAAATAGTAGTATATTTAGTTTAGATCTTTAAAATTAAAACAATAAATAAAGCTGCGTTTTGTACAAATATGCAAACAACAATAATCAGGAAGGTGGCAAAGAGGTTTTTTTCACAACTGTGGAGTCCAAAGATGGTAATTAATAAGATAAATTTTTAAAAAAAAGCATAAGTGAACTATGATAAACATGATAAAACCCCTGCCACAACAAATATTATTATTGGTTTAAATGTGCGTTTTGTTTGTTTAATCCTCCCCCCATTACAGTGGCGTGTACCATTTGTTAAGAACTGCTCATTTACGGTAGCTTTCATTTAGAAGGATAAGAGACAAACACCGGTTTTAATCACCAAGAGAAAACTTCAGATACAACGGAAAGCTAATTAGCTCCACACCAGCTCACTGCAGTCTGAGTAACAAAGCTAGCTAACACAATTTAACAAACAGTCTGCTCGGCTATGCAGCGGTTAACTTTGTCATGGCAGCAATTATCTAAACGCACATGTAGCTCATAATATGGTTGAATAAAGTCAACAGCAGCACAGCTAGCTCACGCTTGCTGGTGACAGGACTGTGTTTACATTTTTGCACCTGCTAGCTAGGAGGTTAACACGCTTAACGTTAGCGTCCATAAAAAGAGACCTAGCGAGCCAGTCACGCGCGCATATTATTGTGAGATAACGGCCTATCACGCGCGTCCCTCTGTTTGTATAGCAATGAACAGGTTGCCGTGTTAAAGCTCATATTTACACACCAACGTCGACATCGCTAACAGTGTTCTCCTCCATCTTCCTCTCCATCTGCTACAAAGCAGCCGACGCTCTCTGGGAGTTACCACGGCAACGGAGCAAAAGGAAGCAGGAGAGGCGCTGCAACCTTCATCAGGGAGCCGCTGCACAGAAGACACCCAAGAAATCGGTTCTCCCGGGCAATGAGTAAGTAATAAACCCGGTGTTTGATTATGTTTGTTTAGTGGTTACAAAAATCATTAAATATTAAATATTAAATATTGAAAGTAAGCTGTGATTTATCAAAGCATGGTTGGTTCAGGACAAACAAAAAACTGCAACTCTGAAAAGGTCACTCACAGAATTTCAAGTTAGTAAGAAAGGAAGTGAAGTTTGTGACTTTTGTTCTTGAGAAGGACTGTATACGCAAAGTGTTTTACAATATAAACTAAAATACATGGATAAAACCAAACATGCACAGGTAGGTCCAAAGCTTCTTTTTAAAGTTATCAGCAGGGTCGACCGATCTTAAATCCATTGGAACTTGGAAGCACACCATGAAAAGCACAATCTCCAGCACCTGGATCTAGGTATAGCCAACAAGTATTAATCAGCTGATCTACTATATGAAGTTTGGATGAAGTAGTTTACTAATCTAGGGAGGCATCTGACCATGAGGAGCTCTGAAAGTGGTCACTAATATCTTAAACTGAACTCTAAAGTTTAAGAGGAGCCAGAGGAGTGTAAATAAGACACAACTGGTGTCACCCAGAAGGTCGAAGTCCCTGGAAAACTTCGGGAGTAAGCCTTCCTTCTTATTACACATGCATTTCAAACGTATACTGAATTAACATCAAGGCTAAGAGTAATTAAATAAAATGGTGGAAAACCTTTATGGTTCAAGATTTGATATCTTGTAATTCTTCTTCTAACACACACACACACACACACACACACACACAAATATACATTCAAAAGAATAAATAAATAAATATTTTTTAAAAACCTAGTTTTATGTTGGATTCATGGCACTGGATAAGTTTGTCCTGCTTTTCAGGATGATGTACAGGCTATGGCTGTAGTGAGTATTCTTTCTAAAGTGTCCGTTAAGCTGTTCACTGATGCTTCCTAGCTGGATGCCAATAGATGGTTAGAATTTGGCAGTTTTTATCACCCACTGCAAAGCCCTGTGGTGTTGCCCCATGCACAAGCCATACAAGTACACCAACAATGTACACTGGCGACATTTACATTCTACAGGAATCAGTAAACTAGACAAGACTCCCATTGCAAATTAAATAGTAATCTGTATACTGCACCCTCCTCAGTTTTATTGCAGTCATACCTGAAATAAACCTCATTTTGAAGGTATTTTCAGAGAAAAAGCCAATCAATGCAAGCAGCAGCCAGAGATTCTGAATTATCCTGCAGATTGATTAAAGCTGGAGATTTTCTAGACAATTGGAGCAGAGATGTCATCAAGGCCAATCAAGCCTGGCCCTATTCCTTTCCCATTACAAAGGCTGCACCTGATTAAGTACATCAAATGAGCAGCGGCACAACTCCTGGAGCAAGAGCATACAGGCTGCTGCAAATTTTCAGGTTATAAGCTGTGTGTAACAGGACTAAATGAATAAGACAAGAGAGAGGGCAATGGGTTTTTTTTTCCCATGTGCATGTGTGATCTGTATTTGATGTCGAGCATCAACAGGCCACTGAGTAGATAGGTCGGACTGATTATTTCTCAGATGACAGGAAGAGAATACTGGGCTCCTGTGTAATATTTTGTTAAAATTGAAAATTGAATAGCTGTCCGCCATGCCATGTCATTCCTTTAACACTATGCCAATTAAAGAGCTGTACGGTGGTACAATCATTCATTTTCAAGAGAGAGATTGAAATTAAATTATGGAGCATGAGAAGAATGAATTAGACACGCTACATGTTCCCTTGTTTCTCAGCTCTTATCAAATAGAGAGGCTGCATGGGAGTGTTCGGATGTTCCATAAGATCCTGGCTATGGATACTCGGTGTAACTACATCTCATGGCTGAAACTCACATCAGTTTGTGAAAGACAAAATTTTATTCCAAAAACTTACCTGACATTATAACAGTACCTGTGAAATAATGGTATCCTGCAGTGAAAGTTAGGACAGGACATAAAACTTGTTTTATCATTTAAATGCCTATGCACATTAGCGATATTACAGGAGAACGAAAAGGTGCATGAAATCTTTTTATGGCTTTCCTCTTCTTTTAAAGCTTTACATTCAACAATAGTGTGTCCTCTTAAAAAATGCCTGAAGAAGTTGAAATCTTTCTTTCTCCCCAAGTTGCATGTGTGCTTTACTTCTACTTACTGGTGTCTGCTCAGTGGATCACCGAAACCAGAATAACACACAAGAGAGGTTCCACACATGTTGACTCTCAAATTTTAATTATCTCTCATGACAGTGTATTTTCACACGCCTATAAAAATATATTTGACCCCTCTGAACATACGATCGTGCTTCACATGTAGACAGTCCTGTCATGGTTAGTGTGGCTTGGTAGTGACTGGATTACACACCTCATCATTTAAATCAGTGGAAAAAATATACAAAAAATATATTTTTTCATTCTTTCAGAAAGATAGTCTTTCTTCTGAATCGCAAACTGATCAAATGAGTCAGCATTTGTAGCTTTGTGCCACAAAAAAAACACTGACACAAAGAATTTCTTTTCTTTCTTTTTTTATCCCGGCATATGTGTATTCAAGAGGACGAAATCTGTGTTTTTCTACATTTGTATTCCAGCAACTACAGGGAAATCCTTTTTACTCCAGCCAGCTGAGGACATCCACGCATATAGTCCATCATCGATGAAGAAACAAGTCATGCAAAAATAAAAAACACAGGGCACAAGAGGCTCAGAGTTGGAGATGGGCAGTTGTGTGAGGCCGGGTGCGGAGGGCTTAGTAGGGAAGTAGAGACCATCCGGCAGTACATAGAGAATCACTATGGTGACAGCAATCAGGGGGCTCAGGGGAGTGAGGCTGGGTCAGAGAGGAAGGCTTGAGAGGCAGCTGACTGAGGAATCAGCTCTCACTCTGAATGATTCAACTGACAGCTCCCCCCAGGGCTGTGCCGGACCAGCCGTCCCCAGAGACCGCGGCTTTACGGAACAGGGATGCGGCTAGCAGTCCTTTTCTAAGGAAAAAATAAATAAAATAAGTGGAATTGGAGCCAAGACGGCGCAACAGTGCCATAACATAGTAATGCTGTTAATGACACCATCACTTAACTTGCTACAGCGAGCAATTTTCTTTTAAAGAAAAGGAAAATGTGCTAATTTAAAACATGTAAACAATATTACGTGCCGCATCCTTGATGTGAGTGTGAGTCTCTCTACATATATTTCCCTCCCCTGTTGACATAAACATCGGTTAAAAGTAGCAATTTGCTAACACACTGCTTTACACCTTACCATTACCCCTTCTATCATCCATTCATCATCACCCACTCCTCTCCCTTTATCTGACACTTTCTCTGTCTGTTCCTCCCTCTCTCCACTGTGCTGGACAGCATCCACCTAAACAGATGGTTCAGTGTCAATAGGCTGCTATTAACTGGCCGCTCTCCCTGCTCTGATCCAAGACAGCAAAAAGCACATTTAAAGCACTGGGAATAAATGCTGTGCCACACTCATGAAGCTAAGATTTGATTAGCGCAGACGACGACGATCCCATTTACTTTAAAACCGTCACCCTCATAAGCTACTTTTTTTTCTGTTAGTTTCTCAGAAATAAGCACAAATTGCATGTTTACCACATCAGATGCAGGTGTGGTATTTTTTTTATGTATTGTTGACTGAGTTCAAGGATCTAGTGACTCATATTCTTGGCTCACATCCCCTTAATATTTATTTATTTTGCTTTTCTCTTCCATAGTTCGGATCTCCTGCCATGTCTGTGACTAGCTGCTTCGTCATCTCTGTGCCACACCCTGCTGAGGAAAAGGACAACTGCCTGACCTTGAGGCTTGCATCTGCTCAACCCTCACTTTTTCCATCGCTGGTAGATATTAATAAGAGGTACCCTTAATTTCCACTCCCTTGTGGTTCCTCCTCAGAAGGTGCAGATTTGACTACATTCCATTACTTTATTTTTTAGCCACATGAAAGAAAGCACTAAATGCTTCCTTCTTTCCGGAAAGCCTTGATAGCCCTTTTTCAAATGTAATCTACATCATAATTAGACCCAAACAATATGAGTTTTCGCACTTCCTAGAATATTAGTTAATGCCGTTGAATGTTCGATCTGACGATGAAGCGAGAGCCAGTCTAAGTATAAATGTTCCTTTACAATCTGCATCTGTGTGTTATAGACACACCCAAAAAGAGGAGAGAAGAGGATAATATGAAAGGAAAGATAGGAGTGGCACGGAGAGGAAGGGATGTGGCGGCGATGGTGTCGCTGCTGCTAGAACAGTCTTCCCACCTTGTGGTAGCACGGAGAACTGTAGCTGCCTCAGTGCATGAGCAATGGGGGATGAGAGAGAGATGGAGTGAGAGAGATAGAGCGAGAGCATAGGAGAGAGCCAGAGGGAGCGATACACAGAGAGAGCGAGAAAGAGAGAGAGAGAGAAAAAAGGGAGGGGAGTTTAAACTAAGTGCAATGTTTTGGGACAGGCTAATCTGTTAGTGAGCAGTGTGAGGATCGGAGCGTATTGTGTGAGCCAGTGTGCGGGGGACAGATAAGGGAGCCAGCCAGCCCGCCAGCCCGACCCACCGACCCACCGACTGCCTGACTGCTTGTTTTAATGTGCTGACTCTGGGGAGATTTTAAAAGACAGCATATTGACTGCTTAGACGTGTGCGGAGACCCTGGGCACAAACGCCACCACTACAGCCACAACGAGCAGAAGTGCATCAGCAGACAGGGGAGAAAGAGACAAAAACTAGAGGACTGAAATATCACAACTCCAGAATCAGAAAATTAAAGAGGATTTTTTTATCCCCCTCCTTTTAAATTGATTTGATTTTTTTCTTTCTTTCTTTTTTTGTGTTCCTGGGACTGACTCCCAACTGTAGAAAAAAAAAGAGGAGGTAGGAGCAAAAACAACAACAACAACAAAAAAACTGAAGAAAATCTGAAAATAAAAGGACAGAACGAAAAAAAAAAAGCACCGAATCTGAACATGTTCGAAATAAGCCGAACACT